ACATCCAAAGCAGTCTTTATCTTCTTTATGAAATGAGACATTGTGATTGCCTGCTTCTAAAGAGCAGCATCTTTCTCAGCTTGCGTTTATGATTGTGTGCACAGGATAATTTCTTCTTTGTTTCTATATTATCAAAATTTCACACTGAAATTTAAATTTAAAAATTCAATTCTAAATATTAAATATCTAATCTTTCTTTTAAAATAAACCATGACATCTGCTAAATACAGTCAAAAGTCTTTAATCCGGACTCGTCGGAACTTCGGCAATTCCGGATTATAGATCATCAGTTTAAATCTGGTAAGAAATTATAAAATTAAAAATATGAAACCGTAATTTATGAAATTAAGAGCAATTATGATCTAAAGGGTATCAAAATTTACAAAAAAAAAAAAAGCTTAATATTTATTTTTTTACTTTATTAAATATTTCTTTCAACATTTAAGCATACATTACGCATATCCGAAATTAGAAAATTGCAACCTGAAAATTATTTGATGTGTATTCGTGATATTTATAATGACGAGGAATTTGATTTAAATCATATCAAAGACGGAGTACATCGGGATGAAATACTACATTTAGTAAGGAATTATAAGCCGAATAAAATAAAAACATCTGCCCTGAAGATAAGGATAGTGCTGACAGATCAACTTTTAGTTCATTGCGCGCTGCGACGTCCCTCCCAGAGCATCGTGAAATTGATAAACAGATTTCGGAATGGTTAGAAAAACAAAAGATATGCCTTTATCCATTTTTTGCAGCAATTCCACTTTTTGTTTCATGGACATATAAATGGGCTTTCTCTTTGTAGATAGATCCTTTGGCAGCTCCAGAATCGGAAGTTCTTTTTGACATACTCGAAAGTTCAAGCTTACTTTTATAAAATTGCTCTAACAGTGCGCAAAAAATAATAAGCCAGATCCAATTAGAAGATTAAGGAACAACGCAATCTGCAACATTAACTGAAATCGATAATTTTAGCTTAGCTTATACCGTCTGTTATACATTAAACGCACATGCGTAAAGGTATTATGCGCATGTGTAAATGCATATGCTCATGCCTAAATGCATTATGCGTTGCATGCGCAGAAAGTTTGTAGCTTTGAGGTTCGGATTATAGATCATTCCAGATTATAGACATCTGGATTAAAGACTTTTGACTATATAGAATAAAGATCAAAAGTTAAAAAAAAAAAAAAAAAAAGAAAGAAAGACTAATAAAAAAAACTTAAAAAAAAAAAAAAAAAAAAAAAAAAAAAAACTTTATGATAACTTTTTTTGAGCAGCTGGTGAAGAATTAGCATTTTTCTATCAAATGGATAAGGAAAGGTTTGACCGTGTGGTTGGTCAAACTTAAATGCTTGCCAAGGGCTTCTTGTTCAATGATCCCGAAACCTCTCGCTCCCCAAACACCAGCTAAGTCTTACCTCAATCCATTTGTACAACACCATGACAGCACTGAAAACAAAACAAATAGATACCAGCTCATGACAAACATTAACCATATAATAATACCCTTGGAAATATTCCCCCAGCCCATTGAAGAGCTTTATGTGAAGTTGTCGTTTCCCTGTATTACATCTTTCTTTTTGATGTCGCACTGTTCTATTGTAGTACTTTTTATAACTGAACTATTGTGAACTTCTAATGTTGATTTTTGCTTATTACTAACCTCAATCTTGTAAATGTTTCCAATGTTTTACTGCATTATTGTTATTTTGTTTTAATATATCACCTGTCAACAAAAGCCAGATTTGTAAAAGGCATCACAGCCAAAACTGCTGATGTTTGGACATATAATTCATAGACAATATCTAAAAATCGACTATCTGCAATCAAGCTCCACTTCCCCGAATTCTCACCAAGTTGCAATCGACAGATGTTGTCGTGAAAGAGCGGCAACAAATGGTTCGATTTCCTCGACAACTTCTAAAGTCTTAGCAACAGATAGAACTATCCTCGTGTGGTATTTTGAAGTTCAATATTCTATATAAATACTATTCGTACATATTGAAGAAATAGCCATTAAAAATATCCCTAAAATTAAATTCCATATATGAAATGCTTTCTAGTTGAGCGGATTTAGATTTTCTCCAAAGAACGAGAGGGAGGGGCAACAATGCTTACCAGGGACATAACCGAAAAATTTCAGGAAAGGAAAGTGCAAAATGTTTTGATAATATACAAAATATATGTTTACAACTGACATGAATTCTACTGTGTGTTGTAAACCCAAGCTTAAATGACCAATGTAGATAATTCTGTTTTTACGTTGTGTATTTGGAAACTAAGTACCGTTTCATTCTAGCCCCGTCGCAGCGCTGTGTTAGGTGTCCCGGTCATGCACACTAGTCTTTCTTGTTCATTGACTTTCAATTGTCGCCATTTTTGGTTGCTCTATGTTGTGTTTTCAGTTTGCTGTGCACATTCAAAATGTTTAAGACAATTAGTTCTCCCGCTGACTGTGAGATTCGTGCCGTGATTAAATTTTTGAACGCAAGGAATGTTAAACCAGCAGAAATTTATCGTCAAGTGACAGAATGGTGAATACGCGATAAGTGATGGAATGGTGAGAAAGTGGGTAAGAATGTTTAATGCAGGTCGAACAAATGTCCACGCCGAGGCTCGGAGTGGTCGGCCTTCTGTTGTCACTGATGATTTGGTAAGGAAAGTTAATGAAGCAATTCATGAGAACAGACGCTTCACAATGACAACTCTTTCAGAGGCATTTCCACAAATTTCACGTTCTGTTTTGTTCGAAATTGTGTCTGACAGCTTGAATTATCGCAAACTGTGTTCCCGATGGGTTCCAAAAATGCTCACTGATGTTCACAAAACAAAGCGACTTGGTAGTGCCCTGACATTTCTCACGCGGTACAGTGATGAGGGAGAAAAATTTTTAAACCAAATTGTGACAGGTGATGAAACTTGGGTGTGTCATTTCACACCAGAATCGAAACAACAATCGATGGAGTGGAGACACACTCATTCTCCGAAATAAACAAAAGTTCAAAGTGACAATGTCATCACAAAAAATCATGTGCACTGTCTTCTGGGATAGGAAAGGCGTTTTGCTTATTGAATTTTTTCCCAGAGGCGAAACCATTAATGCGGCACAATATTGTGAGACTTAACAAAACTAAGGCGTGCCATTCAAAACAAACGAAGAGGAATGCTCAGTAAAGGAATTGTGTTGCTCCATGACAATGCTCGGCTCCATACTGCTGGTGTCACTCAATCGTTAATTCGACAGTTTCATTGGGAGTAGTTCGATCACCCACCGTACAGCCTGGACTTCACGCCATCCGACTATCACTTGTTCCTCTACATGAAGTGTGAGCTTGGTCATCACAAAAAATCTTTGGAACTGACGACAAAAGAACTTTGGATCTGACGATGACACGAAAAATGCTGTGGAGTCGTGGTTATCGAAACTGGTGGGAAGTTTCTTTGACGATGGTATACAAAAACGGGTCACCCGCTATGACAAGTGTTTGATCATTGGTGGAAACGATGTTGAAAAATAGTTTAAGACATGTATTTTCATGTAAAAATAAAATTGGATTCGAAAAAATTGGTTTACTATTTTTTTTTTTTTTTTTTTTCAAAACGGTACTTAGTTTCCGAATACGCCTCGTAGCTCGAGGGAATTTTGAAATTTCAACCCTTAACAAGAAGGACAAGGTCTCAGGGGATCCGATGCAGCATTTCCCAGTAGGGTACAGGGCGTTGCTCCAGAAGCCAACTTAATATTAAAAATCTAATAAAGATTCTCAATGTTTTACGAAAATAACTTTAATATAAAACTTCAGTTCTTTACCTCGTCCCCCTGCCTATGTGCCTAATGGGTAAGCTCCTCAAGTGGCTTTTTATATCCCTTTTGCCTCTCTGTACAAACACGTGCATGAACACACCAAGATGCTTAATTGGGGATTTTTGTTTTGTTTTGTGTTGTACATACATATATACTTTTAATAAAAATAAAGTTGTTTATGTATAATTAAAAAATTGTTTTTAATAAGTTTTTGGAATGTATTTCCCCCTTTTTATACTACCTCTGGGGCTCATACAACATAGTATTTTCTAGCAACCTATCTACCATGTTATAGAAGGGTTACCTGTACTTTTTTAACTTAATGAGAATTGAAATATAATTCAGAACTATCTGCCAGTCTAGACTTTAGTAGATTTGTAAATAGTTTATTATATATTATAAATGCACATAAATGAGGTAGGAAGGTATGCCTTCCCATCAGCTAATGAAAAGTGATCAGCAACTGCTGGGGTGTACAGAATATAAATATAAGGTAATGTGCATGATATGGGGAGTTTAATTGAAAGCAAAATATGATTTCACAAAATTACACTGACAGAGCATGCAGTTGAAAAAACTTCAGCTCAGGTCTTTGCCATACATAAGCATCCAAAGTCCGAAAATACTCCTGTGATTACACTAGAAATATAAGATGTTTCATCGGAAAAATAGCTTGAAATAGAACTTGAAAAGTCATAGTTGTTTTTTGATGCACACACAAAATCAATGAAATCAAAGCTCTAGCTAGAATATTTTAACTATCTACATTGGAAAAGTATAAATATATTTTTCATATTATAATGAATTACTAAGTTTATTTTATAAAAATTAAAACTTATGCCAGTTATTGATGTTTGCTACTCAAATTTTTTTCTGCGTAGCAACTGAGTAGTAGTTTCTGAGTAGTATTAATAATCGGCATAAGTTTGTTATTGTGTTATAGAGAGCCTTCAAAAAGTTTTCAAAAGTTTAGTATCTCTTATTCACACTCATGTTTTTTTCTTTCTTTTTTTCCAGAACATTTGTTCTTTATGAATATTATTTTCATGAAAGTAGAAAAAGGAAAAAGAGAGAGAATGATTATTTAAAAACTTATTCTTCAGTCATATGTTAAATTAGTATTATTAATATATAATGATCCACAGTAGTTATATATATGTAATTTATTCTACTGTTTATGTAGCACTTATTCTCCAGTGGATACACCATGCAACATAAGTTTAAATGATACTGTCTCTTGCTGGGCATCTGGTGCAGTAACTAGAGGTGATACTTATCGAATATTTTTAGTAAGTTATCATTCAGATTTCATTTTTAAAAATAATTATTTTATCTTACCACAGTTACGAATTATTAAATAAAAATTTGTTCTTTAAACGAAAACTGTGTTATTTAATTTCCTTCAACTAAAAAAATTAGACACATTCAAAATGAATATTATTTTAAAATTTTCTGTTGTGCACAGTTATATTCTGTGAAAGGTTTGAAAGTTGTAGGCAATAAGTTGCATTTGAAATCATGTAGGTATTAAAAAGTTATACATACTTAATAACTTAAAAAGATTCTTAATTTCGTATACCAATTAAATTGCTAGTTTCAAATTATTATAACATTAATTTGTTTAAAATCACGTTCCTTTAACTACAAGTAATTAGTTATTTTCTATTAAAATTTAATGTGAATTGTGTAATTCATTAAAACTATCTATTAAAATAATTTATACTGTTAGAATGTATATGTAAGTAGAAGCTAAATTTAAACATTATGATAATTTTTTATAAGTAGCAACATAAGTAGAAAATAATTAAAATTTCAAGTAATTAATGAAATGATGTGACCAAAGAATGGTAGTATGACCAAAGAAAGGTTACCAAAAGACCACAGAATGGTTATCAAAGAATGGTAAATCCCAAGTAATTAATGAAGTGATGTGACCAAAGAATGGTAGAATAAAAGAGCACACAATGATCTGTTCTTAATGTGTTTATGTAAAAGACCCATAAAAAGTAATATATATAAGGAACATTAATATTATTTGACCTAAAAGTAAAATTTTCATGTAGTAATAAAATGAAAATTCTTTACAGAATAAGAAAAATCAATAATTGGGCTTATTAAATGAGCTTTGACATTTAAAACATTGGATAAATGAAATGTCTGAAAATTTTAATTATTTTCTATAAAAATGTAGTTATGTTTATAATTTTTTAAAGTGACAGAGAATTGAAAATTGTTTCTGCTACTGCCCTACATTAAAAATGGCCTTTTCTAGTTTATATATGTTGCATTGTTATAGTCTTTCTCATGCATAATGTAAATAAGCAGCTTGCTGAAGAAAATCTTTCACGAAGACATTCCTTCCATTTATGGGATGGCAGTTGCTTACTTCAACGCAATGAATAAACCCAGTCTACACATGCATATATGTATGTATAACTTATGTAAGATAAAAAGTGTAAATCAAAATTATAGTTTAAATTATCAATAGCCTCTTAATTCCTCACTTTTAATGGGTATTTCCTTTCTCTATTCTAAAAAGGCTACTTTTTTCAAAATCTATATGCAGATCTGGCAATCATATCTCATTATGTTTTGGTGGCCATTTTTATCCTCAAAATTCTATTTTTGAATCTCGCGTCATTTGGTCTTGCCATTGCGGCTCTTTGAATTAAGATCCACTTAAATAGATTCGATAGAATATTTCCAGCACTGTAGAGTTCTCCCAAGTAATCAAAAATGTTAAAACCTTCATGATATGAATCTATATATCACCAATAAAAGGATTAGGTGACAATGTAATGTCTGCCGAGAAGATGTCAGCATTAGAAAAGGTTATTTGTTTGAAACATCTCATATCTCTCTCACATGAGCATTGAGATTTATTTATTTATAATCTAAGGAGTTGACCTCAATTCAGTTGCTAAGATGAACTTGATATGCCACATAATACTGTAATTGATTGGAACAACTATTTACACATGATTTGTACAGAAGATGTTAATGGCTGCCAAAACATAATGATATGTGATTGCCAGATATGCAGGCACACAAAGGAAAAGTACCCTAAGAATAGTATTAACTTTTACTTGAGTGCTTCAGTTCTAGATCAGTTCATATCATAGGACTTGCATAACACTGGTGACGTAGCCAAGTTGGAACTTAACCGAAACTTTCTCTTAATAGGTTGCCTAACTGCACACTTTTGCTTCTATCTCTGTTCTTGGTGAGATGTTGTCTTGTTGCTTTCTTTCTATTGCAACTGTATCAAATATATAAATGTTCTTGAATAAGCACGATTATAGTATCAAGTGAATTATGGCTACAAATGCGAATTGAAATAAATATAAATATTTAATCTGCCTCATCTGCCAAATTTGCATCTCAATATGAATCAACATTCTGTGCCATCAGTATTAAAAATAACAAATATAATTCTATAAATTATAAGATTTTAATCTAGCAGTAGATATTATGTCTTGATGATCCTCTCATAGAGCAGTGCATTTATGGCAACATTTTAACATTTTTTCTATTCATCACAACATATTTTAAACTTGTTTCTGTGATCCACATTTGGGACTTGCAGTAAATTTGTTTTATTACATTAATAGACTCAAAATTGTGATCATGAAGCACAGATTTTAATTACAGAAATAAGAAAAAAAAATCTCATGGTGCCACATCAAGTGAATGTCACTAGTAGAACCGTTGAATATTTGGTCAAAAAATTCATGAGAAACAAGAGCAAGTGCATGTTTGTGGACATGAATTATTTTGCAAGAATAAATGGTACAAAATATATAAATTATCTTACCAGAATTCAAGTTTTCAACTATCTGCTACAAACAACAAATTGCTGCAAACATACTCAAATAATATTCTTTGTTAGCAATTTTACCAGTTGGTAGGATTCGTGATACATAACACCATGGCAGTTTTAGAAAACAACATTACCTTGACTTTTGACCAACTTTCATGGGGGTCTTTTCAATTTTGTGTCACCTTTTGAATATTAATCTCCTGATTGTTGAGCTGTTTCTGTATCAAATGTGTAGCTTCGTGTTTTATCACTAGCAGTAATACAATTTAGTATAGACTGGCTTTGAGAAAATTTCTCCTAGTTTGCTTGAACACGTTTGAACATTTTTAGAACAAGTCAAAAAATGACATTCTGACAAACCAAATTACTTTTCAGAATTGCTTTTCCAGATGATCGAGTTACTTGTTCAGTAATATATGTGATTATTAAACAATGATTGCTAAGCACTTTTGCTAAGTTCTGACTTGATTTGCATATTGCTTATTAGTTAAAGTGGATGGTGTATCGGAATATGATTCATCTTCATTTTTTGATTTTCTTATATAGTGCCATTTAAAAAGGCCCCCCTTTCTTTATAAGGTGTTTTTGATAAGGTTTGTTTCAATATTCCATATATTTTCTAGCTGAAATGTCATTGCCAAAAAAAAATTAGTACTTTTTTCTTTCTCAGTTACATTCATCATTTTCACCACGGCAAATTTTTTTTTTTTCTTCAAAAAATGAATGTGTTTGTGAATGATAAAAGAAAATTGAAACAATTTCTTAAGTTTGAAAAGTTTTTCTGAAGTGATGAAAGTTGCAATAATTTCTAAAGAAAATTTGTGAAGTAATTTCCTGTATATATGCATTTTAAATGAATTATTTCTGATACATTAGTCATTTTCTCCATTTGAGTATAAAATGCAAAAAATTTAATATTTATCATATCTTAACTCTGATATTTTTTATATTTAACATCTTTCTGATTCAACTTACTGAGAAACTTGAATCAGCTAGCGAAACAATTTAAAAAGTATTTTTAAAAGTGGTGCCAAATCAATCATATGCTTGGCTTATTCAGAAGGATTCATGCTAACTTTTGTTATTATTTTAAGCTGAGAGCATTATGGTATTATTATTTTTTTTAATGGGAAAAGTAGTAGTAATTTTTTCATGTTGTATTTTTTTATATATTTTGTACCTGTAGGAAATTGTTTAGTTTCATTTTTGTTTGTTTCTGTTTATGAGTTTATTTTATGATTGTCTGATGTCTGATGATTGTCTGATGAGTTTATTTTTTGCATTTAAATTTTTCTTTTAATATTTACTTTTTGAATTTTTCTTCAGGCAATATTTCTCTTTTGCCTTGGGCCCTTTGCATTCTTCAATGTCCAGAAAACAAAATATTTACAAATTTTTACTACAATAATGAGATGGCTAGGTAAGTTTATATGGTACTTATCTCTGGTTTAATACTAGTATACGGTGCACACAGGATTTGGCAAATTTTGGCAACATTACAGAGGATGTTCAGACAATTTTGTAATAATGATTTTGCAAAGATTTATGTTTAGACGAACCTTAGAATTTTATTTTCTATTATGTTCAGTCTGATAGCCTTTTTGTTGAGCTATCATATTACATTTTCATTTCCGAGATAAAAGTCCTTTTCTTAACCCCTTAACTGCCGCGGAAAACGTACAAGATTCAATTCGCAGTGCCAAGGTTTTTCACACAGGCATGCGTAGTTATGCGATTTATTAGGGGGAAAATAAGTGCAAGTTTTACTTTCTAAAAATTGTTTACTTTCACAAAATAAAGAATAAAAGAAAAAAAAAAAAAGAATGCACAAAATTATGTTTTGAGTAAAAGTATAATAAAAAGATGTAAGTATAATAAAAATGATGTTTTTATAATAAAAAAGATCCCTAAAATGGATTTTTGATCAATTCATTTTTAGACCAGTAAAGTGTAATATCAGGTTTCAGTGTTATACCTTGTGAAATCAGTATGCTTAAAAATACATATATTTCTTCTGAACTGGTTGAATGCCACGATTTTGTACTTGATTTTTCGTTTCCAAGGTGTTGGTTCATATACTCATCTACAAAACGGTTAGTTTCAGTAACAATATGAAGCATGAGCAGTTCATCAAAAAATAATTCAAAAAATGATAAATGGGTTTGAAACATCCGTTATAGCTTTCTTTATTCCTGGAACCTACTACAAAAAGTAAACGAAAACAGAGGACACAGAATAAAAAAAAAAAAAAAAAAAAATATACGATTTACTCAAACAACACCAGCCAATACTTTCATTACTTTTACCGCTTTAGACACATCCCTCTCTCCAATTTCTCCCTACACTTCTCTGAAATAGTATCCTCCTTCGCATACTTTGTCAAGGTCATTGTGGTGTTGCATTCCAAAGCTTTGTGAATAATTTTACGGGTAGCAAATGATAGTATTTTGGAAAGGCGTATATTATATGCCTGGGGCAGTTAACGCATCGGCTGAACAAGGCATATATATATATGCCCCCAGCAGTTAAGGGGTTAAACATGAAGGTTGATTTTATTACACTCCTCCTTCACAATCTTTGAGAGTCCATCCAATATTTTGTGATGCCGCTTATAAAGAGGTTGTTTTAAAAGTCCAAATGCACAATAATCCATAGGAGACACATCAGAGGACTTGGGTGGGATGCATTTAAAGGAAATAGCTTCAAATCTGGTTTCATTCCCCATTTTTTCAAAAAATAGTGCGGTAGATAGAGGTATGGCTTGAAGTCTAATCCTGATGGAACTTAACACAGTGAAGATTGTTTAGGTAAAGAGATAAAATTTATTCGTTGAAAATAGGTGTTAAAACATATTTCTGATAGTAATCCGAATTAATTTTGACATTTCTTTTTACTTTCTGTAAGTTTTCCGTTATAAGAGAATCCAATGATAACTTTAAAACCTTTAGAAAAACTTTCTTTGTTTTCTCTGAACCAATAAATTAAATCTCTTTCTCCTCTTTTTCAGTAGTAAATCTATTTTTCTGTTGCAATCAGATAAGTATATCCAAGCCTCATAAATTTCAACTATATATTTCCATTTTTCACCTGCCAAATAATTTTCATACAGCAATCTGCACATAGTCGTACACTAAGAAACATGTTTCGGTATTATGTGATGAACATCATGTTTTTTGTTTCGAGTAGCTTTAAATCAGATTTTATAATTTTATTGACAGTTCCTACATTAAAGATTTTACAGTAGCTCTTTGGGGGACTGGATTTTCCTTTAAAACATGAGATGCGACTTAAGATTTAATAAAAGCTGTACATACCTTTTTTGTAATGCACTTTTTGCCTTTTTACCAGTCAGATGTAAACTTTGACGTTTCATGTAAAATAAGTGACTATATGTAGAAATATTAAAACCATGCTTTTCACAACTTTTATTAATAATTGAATACGAGTATTTCTCTTCGATCAGCGCAAAAATACAGCCTTCGATCCATTGTTTATTTTTCTGTGATATTTTAAAGAAAAGAATATTTTTAATGCTGCAGACAATAATTAAACCTTATTCCAATTTGATGCATGTCACGTATGAATTTTGAAGTTAATGTTTAAATTCATGGAGAAAATGAAAATCATTACAAAAATGTGTAAACATCCTCTGTATGATGAGAAGTAAATGCAACATTTATGATGAGCAGTAAATGCATCATTTTGGTGTTGGCGACAGTTTTCAAAATCGTGTCAAGGCCATACTGTATGCTGGGATTTTACCTTTACCTCTTTGTTTGTTTTCTCACATTTACAAAAATAAGACTTTTTAAAAAAGTTAATCCCAAGGAGCATATTTTGCCATCTAATATGTACATTAGCTATTTGTTCATGTTTTGTTCTGCATAGAAAATCATGTAATGCAAAAACTTACTGCATGGGTTAATTTTCAAATTCTTGAGAAAGTCTATGTGTTTCATAATTTTATTTGCAGAATATGGTATACATTTAATTCCAAAATTAACCGAAAATTTCGTATGAGGAATAAATATATTCTTCTTACATAAATGTATTTCGGGCCCACCAGCGGCCGAGCGGTAATGTCACTGAACACTGGTAGTTCGGTCCGAGGTTCGTATCCCATGAACGGGCTGGCTGCATGGGTGTTTTCGTGGTTTTCCCCATGTGTAACGTGTATACGAGCCAGTTTCCCTTAAAAGGTCCTCCACGAAGGCATCCCTCCCTTAAGGCAGATAGCCCTCGAGTGCTTTGCCGTAATTTAATAAACCAAACCAAAACCATAAATGTATTTCAATATTTTGTATTTAATGTGAGTGGATTCTTGCTAAGAAATTGGTGATAAAATTTTGAATTAAATTGAAAAGCTTTTTAATTAAATTGTATCTAATTAGATAAGAATTGTAAAGACAGTCAGATGACTTAATCATCCTATAACTTGTAGAGTACAGTGAAATAAATTGAGATCTAGGTTTAAACTAAACCTTTTTATTTACTTAATGGCCTGCTAATTAGAAAAGGAATAACAGAAAAATCATATTTCTGGAAATGCAGAACAATTCAGAGAAAAATAAACTTATTGGCTCAGCCCTAAACCTTTAAGAAAGCAATTAGGATTAGCAGAACTAAAGTTGATTTAAATAATTGAGTCACAGGAAGACGTAACAGAGTGATGGTCAGTGGTAGCTACTGAAGCTGTCTGTTGAGCTCAAGAAAATAGCTTAAATAATAAATTAACTAATTTTCATCTTGGTGGGTGTAAGCAATAATAGAAGTGAAAGTACAAGCAAAATAATAAAATGATTGTTTAATTATTACAAAACATGAATTTGAAAATGAAGGTCTTAGCAACTTTGTTAGAGAACTTTAGATTATAAAACTAACACCATGAGTCAAAGATTTCACAAGGCTTATAAAGTCTCCAACAGAAATTTGTAGTTTGAAACTAGATTGTATGTTATCCTATTTCCTGGGAGGAAAAAAATAATTTGGTATGATGCACAAAAATTTCATGCTAATACAGTCAAAAGTCGTTAATTCGGACACCCATAATCCGGACCTCAAAGCTACAAACTTTCTGCGCATGCGTCGATCCGACGCATGTGCAGAAACGCTGCAGCGTGCAATGAATTGGAAGATGATCTGTCAGCACTATCCTTATCTTCAGGGCAGATGTTTTTATTTTATTTGGCTTATAATTCCTTACTAAATGTAGCATTTCATCTCGATGTACTCTGCCGTCTTTGATATGATTTAAATCAAATTCCTCGTCATTATAATTCACTTCCGATAGTGAAGAAAGTGATACAGAGTTTATTGAAAATGAAAAAAATTTCGATTGACAAATTAGTCGGTATTCTCGACACAGCGATTATAGGACTTCAACAGCGGAACTGTGTAACTGAAGAAGAAATTATGTCTGTTTATAGAATTAAGAGAAAGTATTATCACATATCACATAAACGAAGCAACTTAAACAACTTACATTGAAAGAAATGTTTAATAAAGTAAACAAATAAATATTAAGCTTTTTTTTTTTTTTTTTTGTAAATTTTGATACCCTTTAGATCATAATTGTTCTTTATTTCATAAATTACGGTTTCATATTTTTAATTTTATAATTTCTGCATGCCATCTTACCAGATTTAAACTGATGATCTATAATCTGGAAAAATCGATAATCCGGAATCGCCGAAGTCCTGACGAGTCCGGATTAACGACTTTTGACTGTAGACACTATGTATATGGACTTGCATGCCCACATAGCAGTTTTTTTTACCAGCTTAAGGCATTCAGATTTCCTATTTTATGTTATATGAAGAGCCATGTGTCTATGTTATGTATAGGCAATTTCTGCTTTCTATTGCAACTTCTACTTTACAGCCGGGAGAAGCAGTAAAAGCTCTAAGCACAGAGAAAAAGTAGGCATCCTTGGCATGGCTGATTGCATAATCTCTTGTAACTTCTTAACTCAACTTCTTTGATCGCTTCTTCAGCAATGTTCACTTCATTATTCACGATCTTAGCACTTTTGACTTGCTCTTTAGTGATCTTCCATCTTCTTGAATGACTTCTGCTGTTGTCAGAATGTCTTGCACTCTAGGTTCCCTACTGCTAGATACTGTGCCTACTTTTTCTCTGGGCTTTGAGCTTTTACTGCTTCTCCTGCCTGTGAATCCTTGAATCACCTTTTCACTGTAGCCATTTTCTCTTTGGCACTTATTCCATCTTAGGTCACTTCTCTATATGCTGTGCTGATTTCTTTTTCTTGTTATACCTGCAGCACGCCTAGGTGCACTATATGATCTAAACTATGGTACTTGATGTTTGATATGATCTAAACCTGGATGCCTATTCTGGGCTACGAGAGTCGGCAGCAGTTTGTGGGCCGCCAGATGTCGCTGCTAATGAAAAAAATTCTCT